CACTCCAGTTGTATATATATATATATATATATATAAGGATTCATTGCATACAGTCCTTTCGAAAATTGTCACGCTTCTGATTGGCTACTGAGGAATGATATTGGATTGGTTCGATTCCCAACCAGGCTTTGACCAGTGTGCGGTGAGCCAATCGCGTATCGTTTGCATCTAATCTTCACAACAGGGAAACATACCATTACCAAACTGCAACTAAACTGTGGGTCCGAAGTCAATTTCCGTTCGAGTTCACACCATGTTCGGTCCCAATAGCCGAAAAAAATTACATGCCAGCACAAGCGGATATGATAAACAATGTAGCTAAAACTTTGAAGAGTTTGCGAAACAACTTTGTGAAAGCGTCCCAACATGCAATCATACTAAAAATGGGTTTCTTTTGGCCCGGAAACAAACATATACCCAGTAAGCAAGCAGGTGCAAGCTGTGCGCATGGCGTTTAGCGCATACAAGCGTGGGCGAAGGCAGCATTGGGGGAAGGCGGCGTGAACTAACCATGTGTGTTTCACCTGGCTTGATAGGGTCACTGTGAGTTGTTCCGTCATCGTACTCCTTGATTTTCTCCCTATCTGAGATCACAAGATCAGGTTCGAGTGGTTTGGGTTTGATTTGTTCCGGCTTTCTTTCTTCTATAACCAGTTTGATTCTCGGCCCGTCTGGAAGCTCATATTGACCGTCCTCTGTGACACGCACACCGGGCACTTGACTACCGGTCACTAAATCATACACAGTTGCAGTTTGAGTGGTCGAATTTTCGAAAACAAAATACCGGCCTTGACCGACTGTATTGTGTATTGTGGGAAAGAGGACACCATTGCTGAATTGGATCAGTCCATCCGAACGAACTGTCGCGTCGGGGACATGTAGACCACTAACACTGTCAAACACGGCCAGATGTCCCCCAGCAGGATCAGCTCTGACCACAAACCGAGGGCCATCAACACGTCCAGGAGCAACGATCTGTCCGTCTTTTCTGAGAATAAATCCATCCTCCAAAACCACTGCGTCATGCATTTGTTCACCAGTGTGTGTATCGAAAGATGCCAGTGAACCGTGCGGAAGGGTGGCTACGAGGTAACGGAATTTTCCCGGATGGGAGGTTGCATACAACTGTCCCGAAACAGGTTGAATAAGCCCGGATGGTAAAACACGAGCATTAGGTAGTGACTCTCCAGTGCGTCTATCAAACACTTGATATCCAGTCCCATTCCGGAGCACGAAGAATCGTGGTTTACTGCTAGACTGTACGATAAAAAGGGATCCGTTTGGCATTTTGATAACTTCATTGTCTAGGACTTCTACTCCGGGTAGGGGGAATCCTGTGGTACGATCGAACACAACGGCAGTGTCTAGGTCACTGACATTGAGTAGAAGAAAACGTCCAGCGGAGGAATTAGATAATGCTATAATGCCACGGTCTGGTAGACGGAAGAATCCAGACGTCCCCAAAATTTCACCCGGCACTTGGCAACCGGATCTCCTGTCAAACACCCCAAGATTACCACTATCAGGGAGAGAGATGACGACGAACCGATCACCTACCGCAGTTGGAGAAATTGCAAAAGTCCCGTTTTCCAGCTGAATGATGCCGTTGGCATGGATTTCAAAGTCACGCAGCTGACTGCCGGTAAATCGATCATAAACGTCTATGACAGCTCCCGTGCTGTCGTGAATGACAAGAAGCTTTGAACCGTCAGGGGAAGAAGGGGCGATGGTCTCACCGGATTGAAGAACGACCAGCCCGCTTGGTAATTGTGTTCCTTCGGAGATAATTGAACCCAGGTGACGGTCAACAATGAAGTTACGCCCGGTGTGTGGATCGGAGATCAGATGATAGCGATCAACTTTACGTGAGGACTCGACTGCATATTCTGTGGTTGAAAGACGATACACACCTTCGGCAATTGGTTCAATATCAGTGAGCTGGTCACCAGTGATGCGATCGAACACTCGTGGTTGTTGACCGAGTGTGTCTGATTCCACAATCAGATATCGACCAGCACTATCCGACCCGGGAGCGACGAGTCTTCCATCGGGAAGCTGTACGAGGCCGTTTTCCACGATAATCGCACCGTTTATTGGTTCGCCAGTCCGGGTGTCCAGAACCCAGGTTGTGTTTCCATCGGTTTCAGTGTGAATGATGTAGCGCGACCCTTCTTGTCTCGGAGCAAAGAGGATTCGACCGTCGGTTAAGGTGATGACTCCCTGGCTATCAACTGTGGCCTCTTCTACTCTTCTGCCTGATAAACGATCGTAGACGTGAAGCTCAGATGTTGTGTGATCCGTCACAACCATATAGGGTGATGCCGGGTGTGAAGCACGGGGTGCCGCCAAGGTACCGTTTTCGAATCGAATGAGTCCATTATCCTCTAGCACAGCACCGTGGATTGCTCCCCCAGTACGTCTATCAAGTACTATTAGGTCTCCTGTTCCTGGGTCATTCACAATAGTATACCGTTCTCCCTCCATTGATGGTTGGATTCCAAATGTCCCGTCGTCGAAGGTGATGATTCCAACGCTGTTGACATTGGCGCCTATAATTTTCTCGCCCGATGAAGTATTGTACACCGCCATGACTCCGTCATGCTCATCATCGGGTACAACAAGGTACAGTTGTCCGGTCTCGGACTTGGGTGCGACAAGGTCTCCAGACGGGAGAAGGATGAGTCCATCGGAGCCCATTCTGGCGCCTTCTATCTTGCTCCCGGTTCGCCGATCTAATATGGCTTGATGTCCGGTTTTGGGATCTGTAACGACCAGGTAACGATCAGCTGTATCTGAGGGGCTGGTGATCATGTCTCCATCTGGAAGAAAGATTATGCCATTCGCATCGACAACGATATCTGTGATCTGGTCACCAGTGATGCGATCGAACACTCGTGGTTGTTGACCGAGTGTGTCTGATTCCACAATCAGATATCGACCAGCACTATCCGACCCGGGAGCGACGAGTCTTCCATCGGGAAGCTGTACGAGGCCGTTTTCCACGATAATCGCACCGTTTATTGGTTCGCCAGTCCGGGTGTCCAGAACCCAGGTTGTGTTTCCATCGGTTTCAGTGTGAATGACGTAGCGCGACCCTTCTTTTCTCGGAGCAAAGAGGATTCGACCGTCGGTTAAGGTGATGACTCCCTGGCTATCAACTGTGGCCTCTTCTACTCTTCTGCCTGATAAACGATCGTAGACGTGAAGCTCAGATGTTGTGTGATCCGTCACAACCATATAGGGTGATGCCGGGTGTGAAGCACGGGGTGCCGCCAAGGTACCGTTTTCGAATCGAATGAGTCCATTATCCTCTAGCACAGCACCGTGGATTGCTCCCCCAGTACGTCTATCAAGTACTATTAGGTCTCCTGTTCCTGGGTCATTCACAATAGTATACCGTTCTCCCTCCATTGATGGTTGGATTCCAAATGTCCCGTCGTCGAAGGTGATGATTCCAACGCTGTTGACATTGGCGCCTATAATTTTCTCGCCCGATGAAGTATTGTACACCGCCATGACTCCGTCATGCTCATCATCGGGTACAACAAGGTACAGTTGTCCGGTCTCGGACTTGGATGCGACAAGGTCTCCAGACGGGAGAAGGATGAGTCCATCGGAGCCCACTCTGGCGCCGTCTATCTTGCTCCCGATTCGCCGATCTAATATGGCTTGATGTCCGGTTTTGGGATCTGTAACGACCAGGTAACGATCAGCTGTATCTGAGGGGCTGGTGATCATGTCTCCATCTGGAAGAAAGATTATGCCATTCGCATCGACAACGATATCTGTGATCTGGTCACCAGTGATGCGATCGAACACTCGTGGTTGTTGACCGAGTGTGTCTGATTCCACAATTAGATATCGACCAGCACTATCCGACCCGGGAGCGACGAGTCTTCCATCGGGAAGCTGTACGAGGCCGTTTTCCATGATAATCGCACCGTTTATTGGTTCGCCAGTCCGGGTGTCCAGAACCCAGGTTGTGTTTCCATCGGTTTCAGTGTGAATGATATAGCGCCATCCATCTTGCGTTGGTAGGGAGATTATATTTCCATTAGGAAGTTTTAAAATTCCATTTTCCTCAAGCTTCACGTTTTCGATTCGGCTCCCTGTCATACGATCGTAGACATGATGCTCCGATGTTGTCGGATCAACGGCAACGAGATATGGTCTTGGAGGTGTAATACTCGGTGCTGCTGCCGTGCCGTTTGCGAACCGAATAAGACCACTATCCTCAAGGACTGCACCCATGATCGCGTCTCCCGTACGTCTGTCCAAAACCACAAGTTCTCCTGACAGTGGGTCACTAGCGGTTTCGTATCGCGCCCCATCTGATGAGGGTAGGATACCGAGGCTTCCGTCGTCGAATCTGATGAGTCCATCGTCGTCAACCCTGGCACCTGGAATTTTCTGTCCTGATGATGTGCTATAGACCGCCATATTTCCCCCATTTTCGGGATCGGGCACCACGACATAGAGCTGGCCCGTGGTTGACCCGGGTGCAACAATTTGGTCATCTGGAAGATAAATTAGTCCGTCGGGTCGCACTGTGGCATTGATTATTTTGGTTCCCGTACGTCGATCTAGCACGGTGGGCTGTCCAGTTCTAGGGTCAGTAACTAGAACATATCGATCCAAAGTTTCCGATGGTTTTATTATCAAGTCTCCATCTGGAAGGTAGATCACTCCTTGACTGTCCGACTCGACACTCATTACCTGTTCTCCCGATACTCTGTCATACACGCTTATGTTGTACTCATCCTCAACGGCACTCACAATATGGTAACGTTCCTCATGGTCCTCGCCAGGTGCTATCAGGTTCCCACCAGGTAAACGAACCAAGCCGTTCTCCTGCAGCTCTACTTCGGTCAACAGCTTTTCTTCTCTGTTGTCATACACAGCCGTTTGAGAAGATTCCTCATCTTGAATGATCCGGTACCTAAACTTGTACTTCTTTGGTTTAATCGGAGCTGGCGATTCCGTGCTGGTGATTAGGATCGGACTGGACCTACCTTCCTGTGGTAGCATGGTGTCGTTTACCTGAAATGCGCAATACGGTTACATTTGAAACCAAGCCTGACCCAAGGCCTAACAAGTCAAGGATGTTGTCTACCAAACTAGGAAGCGCTGAGGCAATTTTGTTGATTTTGACAGTAACAATCCGAGCGATTTATCGCTTTTAAACAGGTCTTTTGCGGCTGATGTGTGTGACCATCCTGAAGGCTGTCACACATTCTCGTTACGGGTTCAACAAGCATGAAATCGATACCTTTAGAAGGCCACAATGGATAATTTTCAACAACTAGTAGGAGAGAAGTCAAGTGAAAACTACTGAACGCCAGGTGCCAGGCATTCAGTTCAACCCAAATAGTTCGACTTGATAGTCTGTTAGTGTAATTCCAAAAACAAGTGCTTCTTAGGGGCGGACGGGGTTTTTCATTTCACAGTAAGGGAGTCGACCTTTCGCATCTGCTGCTCACTGCCACGACGAACGACAGCGGTAAGAATCTAAAAGACGGAAATGATCTAAGAGGATAGGGGAGTTGACTCCGCAAGTGTACCTGAGCCAATCTAAAAAATCAACCAATAGGAAATCGGCCGGCTCGACCGTTTCTGAGTAACCACCCAATCTTGAACTGCATTCGCTCATCGGTCCGCAATCTCGACAGAAGTTTTTCACTCTTTGAAAGTTTCACACTGTGATCAGAAAAATCCAACAAGACATCCCTCAGAAGTGTATGAACTGAATCGGCTTGGTTCGCATGAGCGCTTCAGTGTCTGACCAAGTGGACTCTGAACTGCCAAACTCTTGAAAGGAAAAGACCTTTTACGTTCCTTTTAAGGACTGCTGCGGATCATAAGCAGCGCGTTTGAGATTTCACTGTTAGCCAGCCTTATTGACTACTAAAGTGCATTTCGCACGCAAGTTGGTCAACTTACTCGCATGCTTGCGCATCTGGACTGAAATTGAAAGCCAATTGAGTCTCAAGACAGCTAAATGAACAAGGTTGGATCATTAACGACTGGTGAGAAATTCCGGAACAACCCACCGCTTTAAGCAGAGAATTTCGTTGTCCTTGCAGAACGATACCATAAGCTCACAATTTCGTTACGTTTATCCTTCCAACATTGATAGTTTTCAGACACAAACGGGTTCAAACAGTCACATGATTGTATGAAAGCCATTACCAGCAAACTCAGCTGCGCTGGTTGGTCCGTCTTCCTGGATGGTGACCCCGAGACGGTCCACATCAACGGCTAGAGACGTCATCAGACATGGTCCAGTAGTGCCCTCAATGGCGCTCGTGCATCAAAGCTATTGCCTTCAATGCATAGCTCCTTTTCCAACCCCAACCCCAACTTGACAGCCCAATGACAGTGCTGAATTTATGCACCAATTTATCAGCTCGCGCGGGCAATGCGCGTCGAACGAAACTGCAGCAGCTACAACCACTGTACGACGGGTACGCGGTTCTTACAGCTGACACTGATGATGATGATGATTGTCAGCACGATAGAATTTCGGCGGGGTATTCGGTATTCGAATAATTTGAGGATTCTGGGACAGTCAGGTCTACGCAAATGTTGGCCATCCAATTACTACCATAGTTTTAAAAAGAGCACAGCGATAAACACTGACGTTTTCGGGAACTGTCCTCAGGTGGACACATCAAGTGGTTAAAATAGGGGGCAAACAGTGAAATAAACCGCTAGGATTGGTTAGTGCATTAGAATACGCGGAAGCACGGACGGTCGGCTGTCAGTTTTCACCCACGTCGCATCTGATTGGATGCAGTGTGATGGTTCGCAAAACCAGTGAGTGACTGATCGATCGATACGCACCATATGACTGAGGTAGGCTCACAGTTCGCCTGAATCGCTTTTGACGGATCCTTTGCGGCCTCTTCGGCTGTAGTCGAGTGACACCGTTGGTTCGATACTGGCAGCCTATCAAGTACTTGGCAGACAGCGTTAAACGACCTATTTGGACTGGTCGCGTCACTGGTGTCAATTTTGCGTGATGCGATTAGATTTTTGGCTGGACCATTGAGTCTAGTGGTGTTCGGGCACGTAGGTTACCGTTGCCGTGTGTTGCACCCAACTTACTCCGCTGAACAACAGCAGGAGGAACACACAGCGTGTATTCCTTCTGCGTGATGACTAGCGTCTTGTCTCGGGAGATGAAGGTGGGAAAAGGGTTGTTCGTAAACCAAGGTCGCAGAGTTGGAGGCGGGAACGTGAGTAGCAGGGATTGAAACAAACGGCGATTGACTGCCTACCAAAGATCGCCCTCACAATGCGCACTCAAGTAGATTGGCTTCTCTGTAAATTTCACGACAGATGGTTAGATAGGACGTCCTGATGTATTCTTTTATATAAATCCCTCTTGAAAACCATCTACTGCTCCGAAAGAGACGCTCTCCTGAACAACTTTGACCCATCGCATCCCTTCACTCACTTCACTTTTGAAACCACCTTTTGACATTAAATTAGCTAGACTATCCACAGGTTCACTTCAGAGATCTGTCCACAGAAAACCTACGTGGTTTGGACAATACACAAATCTCCACAGTATCATGCCCTCGAAGCAGAAGCGAACTCTGATTTACACTTTAAGGAACCGAACGAAACGAGTATGCTGTGCAGATACATGGACTCTAAACTTACTCATGCTTCTAACGTACTCAGAGCTAGGACTATCCGGTGATATTTACAATTAGGGGTATGTCTATGGGCCATAACCACTCGTCTTCCACGACCAATGAAAGGAATACAGTAGATTTGGATTCATCCTGCAAAGACTAGTTGTTGATAAACACAGTCAATCTCCGGTTACTTCATTCCCTCTACCATACATTTCAGGCTGCAACTTTGCGTCCTTGCCTTACAACCAACGTATTTTTGAAAACACTTTGTCAAGAACACTTCGTACGAGCTCCTGGTCTGCATTTGTCATGTGATGCGTATCTATCGGTCCAGTCATCGAACGGTCCTCTACATCATCTCTCGACCGATGCGGTCATCGAACGGTCCTCTACATCATCTCTCAGCATCCAATCAGATGCGACGTGGGCTCCAACCGACAACCAATCGTCCGTGTTTTTGCGTATTCTAATATACCAACCAATCCCAGCTGTTTATGTCAATATTTGCCCCCTATTTTAACTATTTGGCATGTGTCGACCTGAGGTCGTTGCCAACTAAGTTATATACGTTGTTACACACCGTGGGTTTATTGTGTTGTACTAAGCTGGTCGAGTTGTAAGTGATGGACGCATATGAACCTGGCTTATTTTGAAGATGTGACAACAAGACCTTGCGTGTGGGATAATGTCGGGTTAGTTGATGCTGAATAGTAATCAAGTAACAACTTTAGTTCAACTTTGAGGAATAGTGTGCATCCAATCATACCTTAAAGTCGGGCGTGAGCATTCGAAGCCATCTTGTCGATTTTTTATCGGCCGTTACAGAAGGAACGCGATGGTCGTGTTTATAGGCAACGCAGTTCACACGGTAGGCGTAAGGTGCATCGCAATGCGATCCTACACTTACAGTTTATGGAAGATTTTTCGTCAAGGGAGACCATCTTTCGGAAGAGACGTTCTAAAACTTTTCAGCTGTCAAACCACCATCGGATGAGACGATTTTTCAGGACGAACAGCGTCTGGTTTACTTATTCGGATGGTCTCGCCCCAGACAAGCAACTGCACTTTCATAAACTTGTGGTACTTCAGTGGGACACACGCATAAGCAGCAAGTCACTTTTTATTCTGTTGTTGGTTCCCCAAAATAAGATTTTCCCTTCGAAACGTTTTCTCAAGTGGAACCTAATGAGTTAGAGGGTGAGACTTTTGGGACGCGCTTTATTGAATGTCCATGGATTAATCTAATAAAGGTAACGGCCAAGTTGATAACGGTGTCTACAGTCCAGAATTTCGAGAAGATGCCCAAGAGCACATAAAATAGTCCTGTTAGTCCCCCCGGTTAGAATTCTCCTCCTCTCATTTTATTCTCATGGAATTCGCTTCTACCATGATGGTCGATTTTTGAAAGTGAATTATGAGTAAAAGTAGGACGCGTACACGTACCACAGTTCCCTCGGAAGTTGGATCGGTCTGAAATAGAAAGATAGAAACAGAGAACTCTTTATATCCGACTAAGAAAGTGCATTAGGCAGAGTTTTTCATGCAACTATTTGTCATTAGCTCACTCATCCCTGGATAGTGGGTCAGTAGAAGGTCATGAAGAGAGCTATGCCCAGTTTCTCCACGTCGGAAGTTTGAGCAGAGAAGTTTGGGTGAATCATATCACTACAGGTTAATCGGTTGATGCTCCCCATACTTTTTTAGGATTCAGATGTCTAATCCATACAGAAAATCAGATAACATATTTTTTTAGGATTCGGATGTCTAATCCATACAGAAAATCAGATAATTCACTGGTCGGTTCGAATTTGTCATTCGGGGAGCAACTCAGCTGTAGATCATGTGAGAAATGCGCGATTAAATGATGCTAATCCTGCAACCTGGCTAGTTGTGAGTGAGGCGCACTGGCGATCAGATATCCGCCACTGAATGGTATCAGTCCGGGAGGCATGGGTTCCACACTTCCCAGAGATTGTTGAAGTGCGCACTGCTCACTACTCCTAACAAGGTTCAAACAGCTGGGCGGTGCTTCGTGGCTTTTCAGTAGGACACGACAGGTGGAATCGTGTGAATTCTCCCTCCACGAGATGCACGCCTCCGATTTCAAGCACAGTGGGAAATTATCATACTCTCGTCTCATCCCTTGTGGGCCTAGGTGAACGGCTGTGCATTTCAATAATATGACATGCCGTCATATCACCGATATCCGTACTTCTCCGCAGACCGATGGTGGTACTTTCAATGCGCCACAACCGCACCACCCTCCCGATGGTTTCGGTCGACAGGTGTACCAGCTGCTGATCAATAAAAATTAACTGACCGATAACATCCATTCGTTCGACTTTGCCTGTTGGGACATGTCTCTTGACGGAAATGGTGGTGCATGCTGGTGACGTAGATAGGCAGTAAGTTTTTCGGGTGTTTTTGATAGAAAGCACGTGCGCAATGGACGTGGGCACTCTCTGTGCCTTTCTGGTGAAGTTACATCGACCTAGCCCCCCACTCATGCGTTTGGCTATGCATGATCCCAGACCACACGATGTTTGAAGTCGTCCTGTAGAGGTCACTCATCAGATCACGTGTCACAAACACTCAAACCACGTGACAATCCTGTCCCACTTGCAACCTTAGCCTACAACCTGTACACTACAAATTCCTATCCGTTTTTGTTTACGCGGCTACCACTTGCGTAACGCGCCAGGTCAGGTTGTATTCATGTTCGTGCAAGCATCAAACACGAAGGGAGCCCCTCTTTTCACAACAAATAGGTATACAACTAGGCTCAACACACACACTCGCGCACACAGGAGGGGAAGTCAACAGAGCTCCGCAAGTCTCCACGGCCAAATACGGAACACGTGTATCAGCTGTACTGCAGAGAAGACGTGTCCCGCGTCTGGAACTTCACTCCGGAACTCTCAACACGCGTCGTCAAACGATAGGTCACTGTTTGGCCTATTCTACTTTTCGTATTGTATCTATTTTTATAAAATGCACCTAACTATTGTATTAATCACATTCTAGTAAGACAGACATTTGTCAGTGCTTGTTACCTTCTGATAATCAACTTAATTACGTCACAACTAGAGCACTAACAGTCCGTCTACCAGCACTTATGAGCCACCCGACAGTTCTATCGGCATCTTGCGAAAAGTTTCACCAATATTAGGACACTCAGCCAGTCTAAGGCAACGAATCTACGCGCAAAGGTACAATGCTGTCAGGACGCGCTCAGACAGAAAAAAGCACATGTGCAGAGGGTGACGCATCCCCAAGGTCACCATCGGTTCGACACGTCCGGAAAGTAGGTGAGTTGGGGGCTCTCACCAAACACGGCTTAGCAACAGACGACCAGCGTAGTGGGCCTGAAAGTGTTCACGGCCGGAACACCACCATTGGCTGCACGGAGTGAACAAGTGAACGACCATATTTGGCCAACTAGTCATCCTATATATTTACGCAGACGCTGTGAATGTTTTGCCCTGGCAATACAGCCGTGTCCCCAGTTCTCTNAGCGTGCCCCCAGTCCTCTGTCTTCTCCCTATCTGGCAGGTTCTGTGCAGGCGTAACCCAATAGCTCGGCCACCGCACAATACAACAAATGCAAAATGGGTAAGAGACTGCCATATACGTTCAGGCATTCCAGAAACCTCAGATTATTCATAGGGTATTCGCAGCTGTACTCAAGCAAAAAATCTTCAAACTTTCTTCCTTATTTCGTCACACTGCTTCAGACAAGTAGTCCAGGATACAAAGTAAACAGCGATGAATGCCATTGTTCGAATACTTTGGGAGGAAAATGTCACATTTTTGCTCTGTTTGTGCGGAATTTTTAAGTAGGACTGATCGACCGTTG